TGTCTGTGCCTTTTCCTCCGTGTTGTCCTGGTTTGCTGTGCTGCCTCCTAGTCGCCACCATGGTTTGCTGTGCTGCCTGGTGTTTAGAGTCGGAGAGGTCCTGATAATTTATTCCGGTAAATTACTCTGACCTACTAATTGACCTGACCGAAGTTATTGAGTCTATGTAAGTTTGCTGCTTGGCTCAGATCCACCAACGTTAGCAAGATCTCACCTCTTCCTAACCCCCCGAAGAACCAGGTTCAATTAACTGCTGTTTCAATTCAGACAACTCTTTTTTAATCTGTTTAAGGGATCCCGAAGGATCTTGATATCAGTAAATGGAGTGTGCTCCTACCTAAGTGTGTGTGGCAGGGTGCAGTCTTACCTTTTAAGCAGGAGAGGAGAGCACAGGTTGTCTTTTAAATTAACCCAGTCCAACAGGTGGGATCAGTTTATTTGAAGAAAAATAGGTCCAAACTAATACAGGGTTTTTACCTTCTCTCTTTAAAACATTATAATCATACTAAAAAAAATGGTGCTGTGATCATGTTCAAATGAAACTTTAATTCACAGTCTTACATTTATTACCAAAATGTTTTAATTTCAACTGCCCAATTCAGTTGTGACATTTTAAAATCTCCCGATAGAATTTAGAGGTATTTCCTCGTAAAAAGACCGGTGACAATAAAAAGCGCATTCAACTTTTGATTCACCAAATCAATTCACTTCAGTTTCATACCTTTTTTCCGACACAGATGGCGGGTACTAACATTCAAAAACACACACCTATCTCCCGCAGGTATTTCGGAGGAAGATCCTCACGGTGGCGGTTTCTAATCACAACCACACTCCTATCCGACACAGATGGCGGGTACTAACATCCACAAACACATACCTATCTCCCGCAGGTATTTCGGAGGAAGATCCTCACGGTGGCGGTTCCTAATCACAACCACATCTCACAACCATGTCTCCCATCAAATCATTCCACTCAGCATTCCAACCAAGAAATTCAAGAGATATTTACCAAGTTTGAGAGAACATTACCGAGAGCTATTAACCCAGCTCTGAAGGACACAGCCTACCGGGAGAGAGTCGGGTTTCCCCCCCTCGCGCTCTCTCAAAAAACCAGTCTCTTTATGCTCAAAAAACTGGATCGAAACCCCAAAAAACAAACTCCTCCTCTACACCCAATTTGTGGAAAACTGCGCATGCCCTCTAATGTACAAGGCTGGACATGACTCGACATGTTCCATATCTTATGGCATAAGACACACCTTCCTATGTTAGTGTAAAAAGGACTTGACCCTTTTTTGAGGCCTCTGTGTTTCTCCTTAAGCCTGGAGCCCCCCTCCCTGTGAACTGCTGCCAGAGGAGAGGGAGAAAACGGCCTACTCTCTTTATCATAGACCTTACACTCAACCTAAACAAACCACTTTGTTTTGTTTATACTGTAACTATAGAAAAACCTAAAATATGAAGTATTTTTCATTGTGGGTTATACAAAAATATAATTGATTATATTTGATTATAACTAACTTTCGTTTTAAGTATTAAACATTCTATGAAAACTCACAACACCCTCTTTTCAAAACGCAAAGTTATCAAATAGCAACAGAAAAAATTGTAAGCATACATACATATTCAAAAACCGTCAAGAAGCATTCTCATTATGGGTTTATACAAGAATAGGATTGATCATATATGATTTATAATTAACTTTCGTTTTTAAGTATTCACTTCATATATGATTTATAATTAACTTTCGTTTTAAGTATTCACTTCATATGAAGATCTCAACACTGGGGATGCTCAAATCGCTCAGAGAAAGGAGTACGAATGTACGGCTTCCCCACTGACACAGAGCGGAGGAAAAAATGGCTGGCTCAAGTCAGCAGGAGCAATTTCACGACCAACAGCAACAAAATATGTGATGTAATTATATACAAACACTGCATTTGCACTTTTTACAAAACGAAAACCACACCATTGGGAAAGCTTAATGTTTTGTTTAATACAAAAAAACAGGGAAAGGCTTGAAAAACACAGAGTTGAGACTCAGGGTGCAGAGTGAGGGTCTCAGTGCAGGTATTCAGGCTCCATTGAATCCCCCTCTGGTTCTTGTGCTGAAAGAGGGAGTAACAGACAGGAGAAAGGATTATACACACCTATATAGCACACCTATTGGATGGGAAATTGCCTTGGGGAGATAACTTATATTACTTATATAAAACAGTAGTATTAAACTTACCTTGTGTTTTCACTCTCACTTAAGTCCCTCTCCCTTTGCCATCAATCCAAAATCAGCTGAGCTGCAACATTATACAGACAGGTAATAATCAACATAATCACAAGGACACAATATGGCTCTGCTAAAAACACTCACTCTTACACGCACCAAAGTTATATTTATCTAATATTTAACTCCCTCCACCCCCGCATACAATCCCGTTTAGAAGCCCCTCTTCTCTAATTCAACAACGTTGGACGAAATGACATTAAGAGAACGGAATTTACAATTAAAAGGCTGTTCAACGTGTGTTGCTAACTTGATTCGGTATCCTAGCTTAATCTGGTATCTGTAAATGTTCCCTAAATCTACTAATTTAGCAGCGACGTGCAGTCAGGGGAGGCAGAGCCTCACCTGTCATACACCAATGTAACGGAAAAACAACTAAAGAAAAACTAAATAATAATAAAATGTCTCTCTCCACTGATCTGTGTTGTAAGTGTGATTTCTGTATGATTCCAATTGCTTTTTATAGTCAAAATCAGCAAATTGTCCGAGCTCCGCTACAACTACATGGGAGCGATGAGGAGTGAGGCAGCGACGAGCTCTGCCTCACGTAAACCCACAGAAACTGGCTGGATCGCGGGCACTAATGTAGCGCAGGCACTTATTTTGTGAGCGCGCTCAAGCCAGTTACTGTGTGGTAAGGTGAGGCACAGATGAGCTCTGCCTCACCTCAAAATGCGTCACCTCACAGAAACTGGCTGGAAAGCGGGCCCTAAGCGCATGCCTGCACCATCTCACTGTATGTCACCAATGTAATGTTTGTAGATCCCTTTATTACATTTATCCTCGCCATCCATAGTCTCTAAATAACTTATTTCACGTATATGATATTTAGGCTCGCTGGTCTCATCATACAACGGCAATGAAAAAAGCACCAGGGGAGGCTGCCATAACCTCTGCCGCACTGAAGGGGGCGCAAGTGAGCCCACAGGTTCTTGTTACTACTGTTATTCTATGCAGACGCAAACAACAAGCTAGACTTTTGAAACTAGAGGATGATAAGGAGGACTTTTACAAAAATGTAATGGAGATTGTTGTCCAGAAGGATAGCATGGACTTCATCTTCAAGTCAAGGTAAGACCACAATTGTAATGAACATGGGATCTTACTAAGAAAGAACAATCCAATATTTAGATTTTGGGTATCCTTTTGTTGAACAGTCTGTTTAAAATGAATCGAAGCATCAGACTAAAAAAGCTTTTGAAAATAACCGAACATTTCGATTAAGGTCAAAATATAATATTTGTAAATCTGACTCTGAAAGAGTCAGTGCCTCACCAGCCATGAACCTCACCGCACGTCACTGTAATTTAGGGATAATCCACTGGCATCCTTTAATACACATGTTAATTTGAATCAGATGTACTGATAATATCTGCAATATAAATCTTTAAACTTCTTCTTACCTTTAAAAGTCCGTCACGAACGGTCTATTATGCTGCAACTCTACAGCTCTGCTAGCCTTGGCGCTAACTTCCGGGGAACGATTGAGAGGCTCCACGATCCGCCATTGCTGTAAAAAAGTGGTCCATTGGAGTGAACGGAGATGACGTAACTCTCAGTCTATATGGCGCTGATTAAGCCTAATCAATAAAACCAGGGATTGATTTTTTTTAAATGATTTGAAAAAATGTGTGGCAGCGATTAAAAACAAAAAGATTTCTAGCTTATATAAAAAATGTCAGGCCCAGTCAAATTGCCCATCGATCTAATCAATGACATTAAATTGATTCTTTCCCATAAACATAACTTTTCAGTGCATGATTTTATTTATCTTATTTCACTTTAACACCAAAAGAAGGTTTTTGTTTTTAGGTAGGCTAGTTTTATATGTTAAGTAGCTAAGCACATCAGTAAATTATCCCTAAATAATGTTCCTGTGAATGCTAAACCATTTATAAAAACAATAAGATGTTTACAGATTTACAGCAATAAATTGCATATTTATTTGTTAGGTGTCAGAGTGGTTAATCACAGATGTAGTTCCAGTAATCCAAAATTCGGTTCACAGATAGCAAATAAGCTTGACTCGGACAAAATACGTCTCAGGATAGTTTGTTTTTTACTTACACAAAAAGGTATCAAATACAAATACATATTCTCTCAGGTCAAAAAACTATGTTGCTCGGTGCTTCTTTCTCCTTCTCACACACACCAATCACCAGCAGCTGCCGTCGGCTATAACGTCTCGTAATCACGAACAGCTGCGGTCGTCTATGCCGTTAATTTCACACGGCTGGTTCCAATAAATGATATAATAGCAAACAACAAAGGATAATAATATTCAAATATACATTTTAACATATGGCTCCTACATTTCCGGCCCCTAATTGGCTAGGCGGGGAGCATACCAATTACTAAAAATACACTTAAGTAGGACCATATAATCTAAACATAATTAAGCAACTGTAAGAACTTATATTCTTTTACTGGAAGTCCGTTTTTGTTTTCAATATACTTCAGTACAGTAGTACTGTCTGTCCAGAAGATAGATTGCTCCAGCTAAACCTGGAGCTCTCTTCTTAGCATCTTGTCGACCTTGACAGCGACGACTGCTGCTGTCAACTCCATTCTCCGGATGGTGATGGGTTTCAGTGGAGCGACACTGGACTTTCAGATCGGCAAGGAAACCTTTATTTTGCCTTGGTTGTTTGCAAGATGTAGGTAGCCATTCCATATGCATCCAAGCTGGCATCGGAATAGTGGTGGAGCTGTGCCATCTTCAGGGGTTCAAACCCTGCCGGTTTGACTTATCTCTGCACATAAACTTTGACAGCTGCTCACGGTCGGCCAGCCACTTCATCCATTTCTGGGCCTGCCCACTGTTTATCTTTTCATCCCAGCCTCTCTTTTCCCTACAAAGGTCCCTCAGAAGGAGCTTCGCTGGCAGTACCAATGGGGCCAGGAACCCGAGGGGGTCATAGGTGGAGCTAACGATGGACAGGATTCCTCGTCTTGTAGCTGGTTTGTCCTGTGGTTGCACTTTGAACCTGAAGGTGTCTGATTCAGTGCACCACTGAGTACCAAGGGCTCTTTCCATAGGAAGCTGCTTATGGTTCAGGTCAAGATCTTTGACTTCCGTTGTGCTGTCTTCTTTAGGGATGGACGACAGGACGGCCCTACTGTTGCTGACATACTTTGTTAGCCCGAAACCTCCACTGGCGCACAGATGTCTGAGGTCCTTGGCCAAAGCAACAGCAGGATCTTCTGAATCTACAGACTTTAAACAGTCATCCACATAAAAGTTTCTGAGAACCGTTTCCACCACCTCTGGTGTTGTTTTGCTTCCTCCATCCTGTGCTGTTCTTCTTAATGCATATGATGCGCAGCTGGGAGACGATGTAGCGCCGAACAGGTGCACTGTCATTCGGTAGTCTTCCATTGGTTTGTTCGGATCACCATCCTGCCACCATAGGAAATGCAGAAGATCCGCATCTTGGTCTTTCTTTGGGTGGTAGAGACCGTGATGAGGTATGTACCACACACGTCCATCTTCTCGGCTTAACTGTTTCATGGGGATTTTGACAGCGTAGCCTTTTCCATTTATACCCGCCATGAAGTCCTTGTAACCTTTGTACAGGTCCGGGGTTTTGCTGAGCTTTCTTTGGAGACTTGCGGCACGCTGCTCTGCCATGCAGCGGTTGTTTGGCATTTTGGCTGTCGTTTTGCAGTGGTAAGCCAATGCAGTAGTGCCCATCCCTTAACTCTGCAGATTTGACCACTGACCGCATAAACTGATGATCCTCCTGGGACATCTCTTCTTTGTCTTCACAGCTGAGTTCTGAGAAGTCTGTGTTATATTGCTTGATCAACAGTTCCTCTATGTTAGCTATGGAGATGTGGTTGGCTGTAATGTGGCTCACAACTCCATCCGCTGCCTTGCTGCCATCATCTGTCTTCTTCGGCCCATTCACTACCCATCCAAGGGCAGTCTTAACTGCATAGGGCCCGTCTCCGATGCTGTTTATCACCTGCCATGGCTCCAAAGCTTTAGGGGTGTTGGTTCCTATAAGCATGGTGACTTCTCCTATTATCTTCGGGATTTTCACCTCTTTCAGATATGGCCACTTCTTTAGGTCTTCCTGCAGGGGGATGTTTTCTTTCTTGACCAGTATATCTTTACATGTAAAAACCTTAGGGAGTTCAATGTACTTCCTTTCTTCAAGTCCACACACTTCCAGGTCCGACAAGATACAACTTTGGGCTGGCTTCTCCTGGCCCATAGTTCTGAGTAGGATCGTAGTTTTCTTGCCTCGAACGTTCAGCTGTGTCTTCAGTGATTCAGTGCAGAAAGTCGCCGTACTTCCTGGATCCATGAAGGCATACGTCTCCACAACCTTCTCACTTTTATTGGACTTGACTTTTACCGGTACTATATCAAGTACACATTCTCCGGCCCCAGTGTATCCACATGTTTCCTGTGTCAGTGACACGAGACCATTTGAGATGTTCTCATCTGGCTTTCTAAATGTAGCACTGTCCTTCTCAACGTGCAGAATTCCTGGGTGTCTTAGGGAGCAGACTTGACAGGTCATCCTTTTATTGCAGTTTCTGCTAAGGTGTCCCTGTGTAAGACATCCAAAACAGAGGCCTTTAGCTTTCAGAAACTCAATCCTGTCTTTCGGTTGTTGCTCTTTGATGCTTCTGCAGGAATCGAGTGTGTGGTCTCTATGGCAGAACAAACAGGGTTTTTGAAAGGCATTGACAGGATTTGTAGCTGAGGAGATGTACTTTAAGTTTGAGGGTGGTGTTTTCTCTTCACTCATTGGAGCGACAGCTGTGGCAAAACTGCTTCCCCTTTGCCAGCCTGACTTCCAAGCTTTAGAGTCCGTGGCCGTAGCTTTTACTTTTCCTTTAATACCCATCCTAGTATCATGCATGCTTCCAAAAAGAGGGTCGTTAGCCATTTGTGATTGTCTGTATATATATATATATATATGTCACTAGGTCTGTAAACCTTGCTCTTCGTCCCTTTTTCTCTTGAACCTCGAAAGCAGCAGTTCCTCCATCTTTCTTTCACCTTGTATGGGAGCTTTGAGGCGACGACTCTCATGTTAGTTGGATTGTTCATTTCGTCCATATACTCTATGTCCTCCATGGCATTACGGCACGTAATCAGGAAAAGGGCATAGGCATTCAGAGCTTTTCCATCTTCAGATTTGATCTGTGGCCACTTTAGAGCTTTATCCATATAGGCGGTAGCAATCTTAAATTCATCACAATAATGTTTCTGGAGTAGAGCCCTGGCTTCTTTGTAGCCTCTCTGTGGTGCCATGTGCTCACAACTGCGGACAAGCTCTTGAGGTTCCCCTCCAGTGAACTGTTCCAAGTAGTACAATTTATCGCTGTTGCTCTCTGCCTTGCTGTCGATGACATGGTTGAAGGCTCTTATAAAGGACTTGTAGGTGAGCGGGTCTCCCTTGAACACAGGCAAGTCTCGTTTAGGAAGATAAGACAGGTTATGCTGCCTTACCAGCATCTCTGTAATCTGACTTTGACGCTGCATCACAGCGTAGCTGTCCCTCTCCTCTCCTCTACGGTGACCTTCTCTGGGGCCCGGTCCGTGTGCTGCATCAGAAGCTCCATCCTGCGTGTCCATCCACCTGCTTGACTCTGTTGGGTGTGGCATGACAGTTCCTTTTAGCAGGTGTGCTGAGGCAAGTTTCTCACCATATTTAGCTGGTTTTGGAGCAGTTCTGGATCCGGTGCCAGATGTCTCTGATTTGCCATGACGTTGGCTGCGTTTGAGGTAGCTGCTCATACCATCCTGCTGGTCTTCATACCTGTCAAGCACCTTTAACTTTGCATCACATTCAGCTACAGCTGCATCCATCTCTAATTGTTCTCTTTGAGCTTTGAGCTGCTGAAGCTGCTTTGCTTGCTGCTGGAGCTGCCTTGTTTGCTGCTTTGCTTGCTGCTGTATTAGAGAGGCTTCTTCTATCTCAAGGGCCTGCTTCTTCTTTAAGGATGCTGCTCGAGCTAGCAGCACTGCCTTCTCAGCCTTGGCTCTCCTGCGAGCAGAAGAAACAGTAGAGGAAGCCACTGTATGGTTACTGGCTCTGGGGGTGCTGTCTTCAGGCCTGATATCATCTACTTCAGACGAGCAGGCTTCCTCTTCATGGTCCTCTTTTGTGCTGACTTGGGATTAAACCAGTGTTACTGGTCTTCAGACGCCTCCTCTTCAGGTAAGAGAGTTACAAACTCCTTGTTAATTTCATTAAACTCTCCATATAATTTAGCAAAGTCATTCAGGATTTCTTCTTCCACTTTATCCACATTGCTATCATTTTCTTTAAGACATTTCAGCTCATTAACCTTCTTGGTGAGCTGGCCCAGCTTCGATCCTTAATCCATTTAGCCTGTGGAGCCTCTCCTCTTTGGCCTTTTCCGTGAGCTCCCTCCCTCTTGTGGCTCCTTTCGGTTAGTTCTTCCATGGCTCTTTCAAATTAAACTTACTACAGTGCTTATACTCAACTAAAGGTGTCCAACAATAAACGCTTCGTTTTTATAGAAAATGTCTTTGTTGCACTGTCTTTCTAAAAGAACAACTTATTTAAATGTATTTTACAAACGAAAAGCAAAAGGTAATCAGCTGGTAGTTGGAATCAGCTGATCCATTCAGACTCCCTCTTCTGTTGTAGCGATCTCCCTTCCGTCTTCAAACATCAACATAACAACAGGCCACTTCACCGTCTTTTGTTCTTCGGATATCCCACTTAATGCGCCGATCTCCGTGTGTGGAAGAGCAGTCTTTGGCTGCTTCTCAGGTCGATTAAATGAAATCCTTGCGTCCCTCACTTGCGTCGTTTCCCTGCGTTTAGTCCCTCCCACCAGGGAAGCATGGAGGGACGCAAGGAAACCACGAGAAGCAGGGAAATGAGTTTTAAGAGCAATGGGACGAACTTTCCTCCAGAGCGTCACGTGAAGCGACGTCCGTTTGTGATGACGCTGCACAGCTGATCGTCTGACAGCAGCTCTGTCCCCGTTATTTCCACACACACCCCCGCCTCTGTTAGTACACATTTACTGACACAAACATTTGTATCATCTGTTGCAGACCCCAATAAATACAAGAAAATAAGAACTCATTCTCAAAAAAAGATAAACGCCATTCTTAAAATGTATAAACGAACAATAGTTTGATTAATATTGATTAGAGTGCACAATAGAAATAAAATAATTGAGAGAAGAAAAAGAGATATGTTATCTATCAAAACTCAGTTAGATTAACATTCATTGGATTGCACACGTTGTTTGTTTGTTTGGATATGTAGCATATTAACATTTTAAAAGCACTTAATGACTGACTGAATGGAAATGACAATAAATGAAAATGTAAAACGAAAAAAGCGATCATGAAAATGTTTCCAAAAAATGAATTAAACGATTTTTGACCACTTTGTTGTTCAGATATATCACATATTTGTAACTAAATGATACATGCATTGAAACAAAACACGTTATAAACTGAGGAGTGACTCCCGTGAGGTTCATGTATTTTCTTCACTCTGCTCTCATGTCAAGAAGCATCAGATCAGTGCATGCACTGCCTCGTCCAATCAGTGAGCGATACACAGTAAGGGGGCGGGGTGAGTATCTGAGGATTTCATCGGAGGATGGTCTGGTGGTTCCTCGGTTATCGCTCCTCCATGATCGCTCCTCGATCCCCGGTCCTCCGGCAGAAATAAGAGCCATGGGACGGTACTCAAGATGGCGCAGGCAAATCAACTTCCGGTGAGACCGAGGAGCGAGGAAATGAAAATAGTCGACCTGAGAAGCAGCCTTTATCTTCACCTTTCATGCGATGCCGTCACTGGAATCCCTCCTTCATAGCTCGGCTTCTCCAGAGCATAGTTTTTTGACAAATGTAGTTCCAGTAATCCAAAATTCGGTTCACAGATAGCAAATAAGCTTGACTCGGACAAAATACGTCTCAGGATAGTTTGTTTTCTACTTACACAAAAAGGTATCAAATACAAACACATATTCTCTGAGGTCAAAAAACTATGTTGCTCGGTGCTTCTTTCTCCTTCTCACACACACCAATCACCAGCAGCTGCCGTCGGCTATAACGTAATCACGAACAGCTGCGGTCGTCTATGCCGTTAATTTCACACGGCTGGTTTCCAATAAATGATATAATAGCACTAACAACAAAGGATAATAATATTCAAATATACATTTTAACTAGGGCCGGGACTCGATTAAAAAAATTAATCTAATTAATTAGAGGCTTTGTAATTAATTAATCGAAATTAATCGCATTTTTAATCACATATAAATATTTGACCTGAGAACAGTGAGAAGCAATTTTTTTCACATGGATTTTTAGTATACCATTAGGCGCATTCACACCGCAGTACTTTTCCCACAAAGGTTCATGAGAACTTGGTTCATGAGAACTCTTTGAACCTGGGGGTGGATTAGGCAAATGAAGCCGCTGACGTCACTTCTTCTTCTTCTGCTTTGGGTTTACTGGCAGGCCGCAAACCACCCAAAGTCCCCGGAGTTGCGGAAGGCTTCAGTAGAAGCTGCTGGGACTCCCAGCAGCTTCTACTGAAGCCTTCCGAGTAAATCGCCAGAACGCCGACACCTCCTCATCTCCACCGCTCCCATGTTTTATTTTGTGTTGCCATAAATTAGTCTCTCTGCGTTTCTGCGCTGGGCTAATGCTAATAATGCTAATACGAGGATAATAAAATGGCGGCTTCACAAAACTTTTTGGGAGTTTTACGGGGCGTGGTTTGCAATCCTTCCAGCCAATCAGAAATATAGCTCTTTTCTCACAAGAGAGCCGTACGAAAGTCCCTGCTCTCTAGCAGCTCTCTGCTCTCTAGCAGGGACTTTCGTGGGGGTAAAAAGGTTCTCATGAACTAATTTTAGTACCGGCTCTTTTTGGTGTGAACGCGATAAAAGAGGCTAACGTCCACGCTAGCTTCCACACCAGCTGCTATATGTTTTGCATTGAGGTGATACTTGAGGCTTGATGTGCTGCGGTGATATGCGAATTCCTTTTTGCATAATTTGCACACAACCGTGCTCTTATCGACGCTTCCATCCGTCCGTTTTTCAAAACAACATTTCCCACTGTTATTCACTGTGGTTTGTTGTTGTCTGAAGTCATGAACGTTAGTTGGTGCTCCAGTATAATCGGTACGCCTGAAACTCATCCAGTGAGAAACGTTCCGCGGTGCAAAAATAAGTGCGATTAAAATGCGTTAATTTTTTTAACGCGTTAATTTTTGTGTAATTAATTAATCTTAATTAACGCGTTAAAGTCCCGGCCCTAATTTTAACATATGGCTCCTACAACAGAAATTAAACAATGGTATCAGAGCAACCTCCGAAATAACTGATCAGTCTTTAATGACATACCTGGCTGTCTTGAAAAAGGTCTTCTTGGCGTTCCCCAAGGTCTTCAATCAGGCACCTGGCCACTGCATCCCTTTTTTCCAATACTCTGGGCCTGTGAGGAAATGCATTTTAGTGAGAAGACTTATTTCTGCATTTGCATATTCTTGAATGAAACATTTAAATAAATGTACCTCATCAATTGTGCTCAGGAGAGGGCGCATCCTGGAGCCAGCATCTCCTCCTTGGCACGCATCAGCTGGAGCGAGTGGTGTTAGTGTACCCATCCAGTTTCAGCATCAAAGTCTCTTCCAGTGAAAGAGTTGTTGTGTGTCGGAACTCCTCCTTGATCTAATAAAGAGCATAGGAGACAACACTCATTACTCACAACTCTGACAGCAGTGAGTTGAAATGGAAAAAAATAAACGTAACGTTCTCATTGAATAAACCAGGCCATCTCTCCTTGAAGACACTGACACGTGGGCTGAGGGTCACCACCTCCACTCCACTACGAATTGTCTGCAGGATTTAAAATGCATAGGACTGAGGATGTTACACTTATATTCACATTTCTTACACTGAACATTACCAACAAAATAACACAATTAAACATTTATATGTAGAAATATCCTAAAATATATAACAATGAGCTTTGGCTCTGCTCCGTGGTAATCTATCCAGTCCTCACGATAATATACACAGTAAGCTTAATGTAAACATAAGTCTATAAGCTATTGCTGCAGCTATACCTACAAAAAAAAAAAGAATCATAAATCATTATTACTGTGGCTTGGCAGAATATACGATGGTTATTTTTCACTAAGAGATAGTCGCGAGATAGTTGTCTCAGTATTTATCGTTTCATGCACGCTCATATGAATGCTCCTTGTTCACGCGCGCCGGGGCTGGAGTTTAACAACACCGTGTCCCAGTCATCAAACGGGACAAACTGTATTTCACTCTCACCATTGTTAAGCACAGAGCGACCGAACACAACAATATATATAGTATAGAGTGGCGAAGTCACGCCCATCTACTTCCGGTCCATGGGACCCCGGAAGCGGAAAATTATACATTGAAATCAATGGAGAGAGAAAAGTTATCTTTTGATCCCGTTTGAATTGTGCCACGAATGACACATATGATGTTTGTCAATCTTAAACAATAATTTCCATGTAAAAAAAGTCACAGTTTGTCGTAAAACTGTTGAGATATAAGACTATGAAAAATACGCAACTAGAAAGACTACAAATCCCAAATCCCATTCTGGGTCGCGTAAGTGATGTCATAGGCGATAAATGCTCCAAGACTGGTTGCGACTCGCAATTAAAGCAAAGAAGAAGAAGAAGATCTCATAACTGATTTATTCCCTCCAATAAATATAAGAGATTGCTCCAATAAATTCACTTTTACAAGATGCCTGTGTGCTTTGTACCAGGTTGTAATCACAAAAGTGATCATACCACTTGCTCGTTCTATCGCTTCCCGTCTGATGAAAGGACCAGGAGTCGTTGGACCAAACATATCAGGTAATAGGGTAATATACATGTTTTGCATGGAACATAGTCAAGTTAGCTACCTAGCTAGTAGCGAGCACGTTAGTTAGCATCACATTACTTAGCCTTGTCATTTGTATTAGCCTTTAAGGCAAGGCAAGTCAAGTTTATTTATATAGCACTTTTCAACACAAGGCAATTCAAAGTGCTTTACAAAAAATGAAAAAAAATGGCATTTAAAATCAGTCATTAAAAAGAAATGCTAATAAAATAAACATTAAAAAAAAAAAAAGTTACAGTGAGTTCAATTAAACATTAAAAGAAAAAATACATGGATAAAAGTTACAGTGCAGTCTAAGATATGAATAGTTCAATTAAAAGCAGCGACAAAAAGAAAAGTCTTCAGCCTGGATTTAAAAGTAGTCAGAGTTGCAGCGGACCTGCAGGTTTCTGGGAGTTTGTTCCAGATATTTGGAGCATAATAACTGAACGCTGCTTTTCCATGTTTAGTTCTGACTGGGGACAGAAAGCTGACCAGTCCCTGAAGACCTGAGAGATCTGGATGGTTCATAATTTAGCAGGAGGTCAGAAATGTATTTTGGGCCTAAACCATTTGTCACAATCTTAAGGAGAACCCAAATGCAGCACTCGAGAAACCAAGGAGAATTGGTAATACACTTTATTGGAGATTCCACTGGATCTGAGGAATTCCAACCGAGCAGTTTAACGCACCGGAGGACAGCGGGCAGAAGGTGAGTCAGGGACAGGCAGAGAGTCAGGGAGTAAGCGAGGCGGTCAGCGGGGATACAGGCAGGGTCGGATAACAGGCCAGACAGGATAGTCGAGGGACAGGCAGGATCAGGGAACAGGCAGAGCAGGCAGATCGAGGACAGGCAGGGTCGGAACCGGGTAGGCAATCTAGTTTCAAACGCGGGAAAGACAAGCATGAGGCAAAGTACAATCTGGCAAAGAGTGTGTGTAAGGTGCGGGTTTAAATACTGGCAGAAGCTAATGGGTGCAGAAGAGAAAGAGAGTGAGCTAATGAGTGGGTGTGGAAAACAGGTGAGACAGGTGAATGGAAAACTACTGGTGAATGATGGAGCAGACTATGACAGAACCCCCCCCTTAATGGACGGCTCCTGACGTCCCTAAATGCTAATCTACAGAGGAGGGTGGGATTAATACTCATCTGAAAAAGTTCTTTTGGCCTCCCTCTCCTGCCCCCTGTCGGAATCTGCGTCCTCATCAGAAACCGGCCCCTCGCTGTCCTCCTCTGAAGAGCTGACGGTAAGAGGAGAGACTCTCCCTGTGTTTCTGCCCGTCGACGTGACGGTCTTAGACGGTTGCTCAGGATTACGCCGATGGAACTCCCTGATGAGCCGGGGGTCCAACACATGACGAGCTGGAACCCAAGCCCTCTCCTCAGGGCCGTAACCCTTCCAGTCCACCAGGTACTGGACTCCTCTTCCTCTGCGACGGGAACGAATAAGTCGTCGGAGAGTGTACGTAGGCCCGCCGTCAATCATCCGGGGCGGTGGTGGGGGAGGGACCTTAGGAACCAAGGCACTCTCTCGCACAGGTTTGATCCTGGAAACGTGGAAGGTGGGATGGATCCGCAGAGTCCGAGGCAGTCTTAGCCTTACTGCTGCGGGAATTGATTATCCTGACAATCTCAAAAGGTCCAATGAATCGAGGTGCAAGCTTCTTCGAATCCACCCGTAAAGGAATATCCCGGGAGGAAAGCCATACCTTTTGGCCCACCTGGTAGACAGGTGCTTTGGAACGTCGGCGGTTGGCAGAGGAGGCGTATCGGTTGGCCGAACAAACGAGAGTTCTCCGGGCTTGATTCCAGGTCCGTCGACAACGACGGATGAAAGCCTGGACGGACGGACAGGTAACCTCCCTCTCCAGGGCTGGAAACAGAGGGGGTTGAAAACCCGTAAGCACACTGAAATGGGGACAACTTGGTGGCCGAACTGACCAGAGTGTTGTGGGCGTACTCGACCCAGAGCAGTTGTTTAGCCCAGGCCGCTGGGTTCTTGGAGACTATACAGCGTAAGGTCGTCTCCATCTCCTGGTTCTTTCTTTCTGTCTGACCGTTGGATTGCGGATGGAAACCGGATGACAGACTGACCGTGGCCCCAAGGAGCGTGCAGAATTCCCTCCAGAACACTGAGGTAAATTGAGGACCACGATCGGAAACCACATCAGTAGGCAGCCCATGGAGCCGGAACACATGGAGCAGGACCAGCTCCGCCGTCTCTTTGGCTGAGGGGAGCTTGGGTATCGGCACAAAATGAGCCATCTTACTGAATCGGTCTACCACCGTCAAGATGGCAGTGTGTCCGTTGGACGGTGGCAGACCAGTAACAAAGTCCAGAGAAATGTGAGACCAGGGGCGATGAGGGATAGGTAGAGGTCGTAGGAGACCAGCAGGAGCTTGGTGAGAAGACTTGTTTTGATTGCAAACAGGGCAGGCATTAACAAATTCCCTGGTGTCCTCCTTAAGTGTTGCCCACCAGAACCTTTGCTGGACTACCTCCCATGTACGTTGGATCCCAGGATGGCAGGTGAGTCTGGAGTTATGAGCCAACTGGATAACATCAGACCTCAATGTCTGCGGAACGAACAGGCGGTTCGGCGGACAGGCACTGGGTCCCGGCTGGTCCTGCTGGGCGGCCTTGACCCTCTCCTCCACCTCCCAGATGAGGGCGGCGACGAGCTGAGGAGTCGGAAGGATGGTGTCCAAGCCCTGGGAATGTTACCCTCCCTCTCCAAACTGACGAGAAAGAGCGTCAGCCTTAATGTTCCGAGAACCAGGGCGGTAGGAGAGGGAGAAATTGAACCGAGTGAAGAAAAGGGCCCATCTAGCCTGTCGGGAATTCAGTCTGCGGGCCGACCGGATGTACTCCAAATTCTTGTGGTCGGTCCACACCAGGAAAGGTTGACTGGTCCCCTCGAGCCAGTGACGCCACTCCTCCAGAGCCAACTTCACTGCTAGCAGCTCCCGGTTTCCCACATCATAATTTCTTTCCGCTGGAGTCAAACGCCTTGAAAAGAAAGCACAAGGATGGAGTTTTTGGCTGTTCATTGCTCGCTGAGACAGGATGGCTCCCACCCCCATATCAGAGGCATCCACCTCCAAAACAAACTGTCTTACAGGATCGGGTACTCGGAGGATGGGGGCGGAGGTGAACCTGGCCTTAATCTTCTGGAACGCCTCCTCAGCCGAGGAGGACCACTGGAACATAACCTTAGAGGAGGTCAGGGCTGTGAGAGGAGCGGCCAAGGTACTGTATCCACGAATGAACCTCCGGTAGAAGTTGGCGAACCCGAGGAACTGTTGTAGCTGCTTCCGGGATTCTGGAACCGCCCAGGAAGTGACTGCATCAACCTTGGAAGGATCCATCTCGATACTCCCCTGTCCCACAATGTATCCCAGAAAAGAGACAGAGGATGTGTGAAACTCGCACTTCTCCGTTTTAACAAACAGCGAGTTCTCGAGCAATCTCTTGAGAACCGCCTGGACGTGGTGCACGTGTTCTTTCAGTGTCTTGGAAAAGATCAGGATGTCATCCAAGTAAACAAACACGTGTCGGTCCAACATGTCTCGGAGCACGTCATTTACCAACGCCTGGAATACTGCAGGGGCGTTGGTAAGCCCAAAAGGCATGACTAGGTACTCGTAGTGCCCCGAGGTGGTGTTGAAGGCTGTCTTACACTCATCCCCCTCGCGAATACGTACCAAGTGGTACGCGTTACGCAAGTCCAGCTTTGTGAATATGGTTGCTCCCTGCAGCAACTCAAATGCAGAAGAGATAAGAGGCAGTGGGTATCGATTCTTGATCGTAATGTCATTAAGACCCCGAAAGTCGATACAGGGTCTTAGGGTCTTGTCCTTCTTCTCTACAAAGAAGAACCCTGCGCCAGCAGGTGATGAGGACGGGCGAATAATCCCAGCCGCCAGAGAGTCATTGATATAAGTCTCCATGGAAACTCTTTCCGGAGCAGACAGGGAGTACAATCGACCCCTGGGGGGGCTGGTCCCGGGATGCAGGTCGATGGCACAGTCGTAGGGCCGGTGTGGTGGTAAGGAAGTAGCCCTCGACTTGCTGAATACTTCCTTGAAGTCCAGATATTCCGGTGGAACCCCTGTAATATCTGGAACTTGGCTGGGGTTTACCGAACGCTGAGGCGCGGCAGCCTGTTTCAGGCAGATCAGATGACAAGAAGGACTCCAACCCAAAATGGCTCCCGTCTCCCAGTCAATGTTAGGGTTGTGGCGGCGGAGCCATGGATAACCCAGGATCAGCGGAATATGTGGAGACCGGAGAACATGAAACTGAATAGTTTCGTGATGGTTCCCAGACAGGAGCATGTGAACGGGTACAGTCTGATGAGTCACTGTCCCCAGCAGGTGACCGTCTAAAGCGTTGGCTGGAACTGGGCGAGACAAAAGAACCCGGTCTATTCCCAACTGCAGCATAAGCTTCTCGTCCATAATATTCGCGTCCGAACCAGAGTCAATAAAAACAGCAAGCGCCTGAGAGCTATCCGGTAATAGCAACCTGGCGTGGCTCAATGGTCTCTGAGTGGGAACAAATCCAGGGGTTTGGCTCACCAGTATGTTCCCCATTACTGCTGAGCCTTGCCTTTTACCGGGCAGTGAGAAACAAAATGGCCGGCCCGGCCGCAGTAGAGACACAGATTACGACGTCTGCGATGCTCACGTTCCTCCAAAGTGAGGTTGGTGCGACCCACCTGCATGGGCTCATCCCCCCCTGGTTGCGGCTCTGGAGTGAGGTGAGGTGTCGTAGCCAAACTCGGACGTCGGGGCGCCCAGGCATGTTGAACTCCCGCCGATCGTCGCTCCCGTCTCCGTGTCTGGATGCGCCGATCCATGCGGGAAGTCAGTTCAATCAACCCATCCAGTGAATTGGGCAGATCAAACGACACCAGCTCGTCTTTAATGTAATCCGCCAAACCACGCAGATAGGCGTCACACTGGGCTGCAGAATTCCAGTTGCTGAGGCGGCTCCGGGTGCGAAACTCAATGGCATAATCCACCACAGATCCATTACCCTGGCTCAGGTTCAGTAGTCCTCCTGCAGCGTCTGGACCCACAGACACGGGTCCAAACACCTTGCAGCTCCGCAGAAAAAGCGGGGAACGAAGAGCAGGCGGGTGTTTGTTGCTCCCATTCCGCTGTGCCCCATAGTCGGGCTTTCCCAGTCAAATGATTGACCGTGAAGGCCACACGAGCAGCTTCAGAAGCGAAAGTGTGTGGCTGCAGCGCAAACAGGATAGAACAGTTCGTAAGAAACGGGCTGCAGCCCTCCGGTTCCCCGGCGTAGCGCTCCGGAGTTCCCACCCGAGGCTCCGGGGTAAATCCCATCAGAGGTGATGCAGAAGCCGGTGTCGACGGCATAGGAAGAGGCGCTGGAGCGGCCACTCCTGCCACTAGCTGCTGCACAGTAGCCGTTAGCTGCTGTAGCTGCGCAGCTAAATAGGTTAGCGTCTGGTCATGTGAAGAGTTAGCATGATGAGCCTCGGTGGCCAGGGCGGCTATCGAGGCTTCCTGCCTCTGGAGAGCGTCCTCAACTCTCACGAAACGGTCTCTAGGTGCAGAGGAGTGCGCTGGGTCCATGTTCTGGCCAGATTGTTCTGTCACAATCTTAAGGAGAACCCAAATGCAGCACTCGAGAAACCAAGGAGAATTGGTAATACACTTTATTGGAGATTCCACTGGATCTGAGGAATTCCAACCGAGCAGTTTAACGCACCGGAGGACAGCGGGCAGAAGGTGAGTCAGGGACAGGCAGAGAGTCAGGGAGTAAGCGAGGCGGTCAGCGGGGATACAGGCAGGGTCGGATAACAGGCCAGACAGGATAGTCGAGGGACAGGCAGGATCAGGGAACAGGCAGAGCAGGCAGATCGAGGACAGGCAGGGTCGGAACCGGGTAGGCAATCTAGTTTCAAACGCGGGAAAGACAAGCATGAGGCAAAGTACAATCTGGCAAAGAGTGTGTGTAAGGTGCGGGTTTAAATACTGGCAGAAGCTAATGGGTGCAGAAGAGAAAGAGAGTGAGCTAATGAGTGGGTGTGGAAAACAGGTGAGACAGGTGAATGGAAAACTACTGGTGAATGATGGAGCAGACTATGACACCATTCAGTGGTTTATAAACCAGTAGCAGTATTTTGAAATCTATTCTTTGACACACAGGAAGCCAGTGTAAAGACTTCAGAACAGGAGTGATGTGATCCACTTTCTTAGTGTTAGTGAGGTTTCCGAAAGTCCCACCCAGTTTTCCAGTCGGTCTAGTAATATGTTGTGGTCAACAGTGTCAAACGCAGCACTGAGATCTAATAATACTAACACTGAAGTTCTGCCACTGTCTGTGTTTAAGTGGATGTCATTAAAGACCTTTACAAGAGCAGTCTCAGTGCTGTGGTTTGGACGAAAGCCTGACTGGAACACATCGAAACAGTTATTGAAATGCAAGAAATTACTCAACTGTTGAAAAACAACTTTTTCAATGATTTTACCTAGAAATGGGAGGTTTGATATGGGCCTGTAATTGTTCATTACTGAAGCATCTAGATTATTCTTTTTTAAGAGCGGTTTAATGACTGCAGTTTTCAGGGC